CCATCAATTTTGGATTTCAGGATAGTTTAACTACTTTAGGTAGACCAAAATACTAGTCCAAGTTTCAGAGATAAATGATATTTTCCCACATCTTTTTTCCATTCATTGATCAACGATGTAAGATGTCTACTTGTGTTTTTTTTTAATTTGCAAAATTTAATGAAGAAATGCAAATAAGTTAAAGATGTGCTTGCTTTCTAGACCAACCAAGTGGCAAAGTAAAGGTATTGAAACAAATAGGCTTATCAGCGATGTATAAGCAATCAAATCAATTAGCTAGTTTCTTGATCGAACTAGGATACTATGTCTCTCCTACAACTTTGTGCACACCTACTCAACGACTTAGAGATACTTTACTGACAAGTCTACCACACACTAGCAGGATACTGGTCGATACTCTATATTTTTGAGTAAGTATACCTTTGGAAGTCCTAAAAACCGACTAGTGTCCCCCCCCCCCCCCCCCCCCCCGCACCTCCCCCCACTAAAACTTCATATTTTTTACAGCAACCTTTCTTGAAAGGTCTTAAAAAATTGTTTTTGTAAAGAGCTAGTTTAATCCCAGCGTAGTGTTGGATTCGAGTTCAAATCCTGCTCCAAGTCGGTTTCATGTCACAATAACTTTTCATGACTGTCCTTATAAAAAACCCCTAGCTTCACCTCTGCATTACATATAAGTTCTTTTTTTATCCAAAAAGCCCCCGCAAATTAATCATATTGAATAAGCATTTTAATTAAATAATTGAGATAATTTACTAAAACGGTAAACAAATCATCAGAGTAAGTGAGAGAAAATTTAATTCAATGATTAAAGTTTGAACAAATTAAAGGCATTATAGATGCTAATTCAAGTAATAAATATCGAGAGCGCAAAAACTTTATTTTTATTTAATATAAATTATGTTGTGATATATGCTAATGAGAGTTATGTAGCCTAGTTTCATGAATCATCACAGAGATATTAAAATGTTGTTGACCTGAGTAAGTGAGAGAGAGAGAGAGAAATGTAATATCATTGGGTTAATGACTAATTGATTGATGATGTTGTTTATTGATGTATTTTTATATTTATGTAAATTTTTCACTTACCATTTTTATGGGATGAAGATGGATAATTGTACTTTTGAACTTTGATGATTTTTTTGGTTGTTTGTTCTCAGAATTAATTGATTTTAATTTAGTGACTTTTTTCGGTTACTTCCTTAAATTAAAATTTTTTGTTCTTAAATTATTAAATATTCATGAAACATTTTTTCACAATTTAACGGTTAAAATTTCCAGCATCTTTAAATACCATCAAAATATTCCATCCAAAAATTTCAACATACCGAAAAAATTCCTCGTCCACAAGAGAGACAATCTCTCCCCATTAAACGAGCTTTGCATGCATAAAATGATTTTTTTTGTACATTTCCAAATATTTGTTCTCGCGATTAACCGATTCAGCTATAAACGTTAAAATAAATCGGAATCATGTCAATCAAACTCCCATGAAATGTCAGTATCCATGAATTTCGTGAATTTATTGGAGGATTAAAGAGCTTGAAAATAGCTCAAAAATATGTGGATGATGACTTTGAATCTTTTATTAACGAGTGGGATTTTTTTGGTAACTTTAGTTGAAGGAGTGAATGGGATGCATTTATTATTGGAATAATCCTAAATTATAGAAGCAGAACTTAATTTACAACATCATTGACGAATATACTGGAAATGAGGCTCAGAGCCTTCCTTTGTAGGCTACAGACAGAAATGTCATCAAAGGAGTGGTTTGGATCGCATTATTAACTGTAGGTGTAGGTATGAGTTCAGTGGTTTGGCGCATCCTCACTGGTTAAACTCTCATTAGCTGCGAATCGTCCTAGTGCAGCTTTAGATCACAATTGATTTGAATAGGTAAAGGTTTATCTTTATTAACGGTAGTTTGAAGGCCTATAGACTTTCGAACTGGAGGGTCTATGCTTTATTTAGACGCTAGGACGCTCTACAACGTTAGTGAAGATTCCTTTTGGATTAGTTCATTCACTTTGTGTTTGCTGGGCTCAATCGCAATGTCATCATCTTAATGAGCACTATAAGTGACGCAACTTAGTTGCCAAGTCATTATAAAGGTACAAAGTTACTACCAAATTGCGAAACCGATGAGGCATGAGCCTAATGGTGTCTTAGCGACAATATTTATCAACTACATTTTAAGAATTACTCAAAAGAAGTCAACCTTTTTGAATTTCCCATCAAAATATGTCCAGGTCAAAGTTTATTTAAGATATTACCAAAAAATAAATAAACCACAATTCATTGTTGCTTTCTTCTTGCATCCATTAACTTTCCATAAAATTCTCATCTTGATGAATTGCCTCATTTCCGAGAATTAAGGATATTTTTCCTCAAAGTGGCTACAATATGTCTAGCTATTTGGTCAATAAATTCCTTTGAAATGACCGTGAAATGCTTTTTCATTTTAAATTACGCTTCACACAAAAGTCACAGCAAATTTTAAAACGCTCAAAGCAATAAAAGCTTTTTGTGAATGTTTCAACATTTATTTAATCATTTAAACATTATTTGAATTTACACTTGAATTTTACATATTTATTTTATGTTCGAATAATAACACACAGCTTGAGCAGAGAGGAAGAGTGCGTGAAATTAAATTATTTGCAAAAATAATGAATATCACTATCAAAATGGGTTTGTCAAATTTGTTTTTAGAATTTTACATTCAATTTAATTCATGATCAAATTAAATATTGTATGAGGTGTGCGCTTTTCGTGAAAAAAGGGTTTTATGCTCGGCTAAAAGGTTCGTTGTTTGCTGAATTTTTTTGGAATGGAATTTTTTTCTTTATGGTTGTAAGGCAAACATTTTATGGATCTAGATGGAGTAGTGAGGATGAAGAAAGGCTTAAGTAAATGAAGTAATGTCTATAGGATGAAGTTTACGAAGCTTAGCTTAGTTAAATTGCTAGGTGTAAATGAGTGTTGATTGTAGCTACCTAGTTGGGATTTTACGAATCCGAAGTTTTAGGTAATTCATGTTCTTAAGTTACTATAGTGCAAGTGGTTCGGATCCCACTATAAACTGTAGGTCTAAAGGGTGTGGTACAATAGATTCTGTTCTAATTTGAATCGCAGTGCCTCCAGCTGAAAGTTTGGGCCCTTCACACATTATGTTATACTATAGTTTCCATTAAATTGGTTTCAAACAGGCATGATGGTGCATTTAATGCGTTATTGCGTCTGTTCGAAATTTAAAAGCGGTTTCTGATACTATAAAACTTACCCTAACCCCAACACAATGGTAAGGGTATGATGAGCCCAAATAGCTCTTAAAACCAGCTCTTAGCTTTTTAGTAGAGTATAAACTGCTATAAAGTGCTGCTCGATAAAGTTTTTAAGTAGCTTTTGAACTCAGGACTGTAGTGAACATTTGTTTGAGGACCATAAACACAATCATTACTCATCTGAGCCATTGCGTCTACTCAATTAGATGAACTAAACAGTTATGCATCCAAAAGGATTACCAAACCCATCTAAAAATAATAACATCTCTAAAAAAATAATAAAAAAGTAAGAAAAGCTCATAGAAGGTATTAAATTATTTCTATTGATGAGAGACATCCATTCATACAGTTGACAGTGACACGTTCTGTGCTGTTTAACACAATTTAGAGTATTGACATATTTATTGAATTTCTTTCTTAAAGATGAGGCAATGACATAATAGAATATATTCTTACTTATATAAAGGGAGAGACGTTAGCAGCAAAAAAAAAAAAGGAAAGAAATGAAAGGGATGTGAAGGATACATCAGCACGTATGTATACCATCGAACATGCTATTAAGCTGCGAGAGAAAAATTGTGCCTCAAAAATCATTAAACAACAGTTTTTTTTTCAATACACACAACGAGTAGCTTCTCCATTCACAAATTTCCATTATCAACCATTATTATTGCTACTTCACATTGAACTACGTCGAAGCTGTACATGTAGAGCGTAATTGATAAATTGATGAAAATTATATTTTGCTCTATTTTCCAATTTTCACGCTTTGAGTTATTGCATGAACATTTTTGGAATTTATTATGATTGGCATGTTGGTACACAGTACATGAAGTAGGACTATATTTCAAATGAAGTCTTACTACAATGCCATTTTCGTTTTGTGAGGATTACTGCAAAGACGTTTTTGTCCACATTTATATTTATTTTACTTTTTCTCGTCTCCTTTTCTTTGAAGGAAGTTCCATCGGGGTTGTTCATAAATGATGTCATGCTATTGGCAGGTAGAGTTGGAATATTGTGTTAATGGAGTCAGGGAATTGAACAGGATCTGAAGAAATGAGATAGTCTGGCGGATCAGAGAGTAGGAAGGAGTAGGGTTGATCTGACTCAATAAGGAGGTTCTACATTGAAGAGGATCGAAGAAATAGAGTAGTCTAGGGTGAGATCCTTCCTGTCTGGGTTGTAACTTCATTTCTTTTTCATAGTAAAAGGTCAAAATATTCATAATTAGAACTAAAACGACCCCCCCTCCCCCCCTCCTAAGAATAGCCATCACATGCAAACACCCCTCATGATATCCCTTTTTACAATTGCTTCATGCATGCAAGACGGAGACCAAATATTGAAGAATTTTACTATCCCTCTGCCTACATCACATGCCGTGAACTAGATCATCAATTTTCCTTTTCCTTAATCTATTTCTTTTTTTCAGGTCGACTGATGTGTTTTCTTTTTCTTCCTTATAAGAAAATAAAAGGAAAAAATTTGAAATTCAGTTAAAAATGGAATGTCAGTCGGAATTTCATTTTATTTTTTAATGCCATTTGAAGAAAGAAAATGAAAAAGTTTTTTATTTTCGTCTCAGTCTGCATTGCATTGCAGAAAGTATAGTTGAAAGAAAAAAGGAACAAGTATGAATGTTATTGCAGGCGGGTTACTAGAGGGTTATTTTTGGAGTATGCTTGGATTTATAATGAGCTTTGTTTTAAGTTATTAAAATGTAAATGACTTGATTGTTTTGTAATGAGGAATAAGTTGAATTGTCAATGGGAATGTGGAAGTGCTTCGTGCTTGTGTAGAGGAGATTTGAGGTAATTTTTGATGTGAATTAATTCATTTAATAAGAGAATTTTTATATAGAAAATTGCTAATTAGTTTTTCAAGGATTTAAGGATAAAATGGAATGTTCACGGAATGAGTGTTGAATTAAGGATATCAAGTTTCTTTGATTATTCATTCGACCTGTTTTTGGAGTAGCTTCTGATAAGACTCACATTTAATTAGTGGTTAAGTGTTCAACTACACTTACCTCACTTCTATAATGTAAAGAAGGAATAAACATCTCATAACTACCTGACGATAGGAAATTACCTCTGTCAACTTGCTGGTAACTGGAAGAAATTCTAGAAATGTAAAGTGGTTGAATCTCGTATTGAAGTAGAATCTAAGGTGATATGTAGGTAAATCTGCCAGGGCAAGTAGCTGAGTAAACAACAGACCGGATGCATATAATCTTCTTATTTGTAAGAAGCAAGTTCGATTCCCTCCAGATGTCAATCCTTCAATTATTACTTAGCTTAGTTTCGGGATAATAAAAACTCACTCTCAATATTCCTAAGGCTACATGCAATTAGACTAACCGATCAATTTAAGACATCTTGATAGAGATGCAGCCTTTTGGCCATTACTTAGCTCTATATATCCTCTGCTTCATAAATTGAAATTTCAGTTCCAAATTCATGTTTTAATTCAACCATGAACAACACTTAACAACAGCCAAAAAATCCAGCTCATAACCTACAAACCGATGGACAACATGATCAAATAAACTCATCCAAAACGCCTCAAAAAAAAAGTAAAGTTTTTGAAGCAAAATTTGCCTTTCGGTAAAAATTTAAATAAAAATCACGTTTTTCATAGAAGCAAAATAATAAAAAATTGACTGTTTGAATCTCTTTCTCGTTTTCTACCACACAACATACCGACTCATCTTCTTCATGTTCAATGGCACAATACACGGAGAGAATAAAGTTTTTTTTGAATGGTCATAAAATTTATCTAGATTCAGTTTTTCAGTTAGTATTTATAAATATTTACATGTGAAACATGAGAATGATCCAAGTTTGTATAAAGTATAATAATTATATGTTTAAAATTACCCCAAGTGTATGTGCTGAGGGAAAGAAGACTCCGACTGTGCACATACTATTATGGAAATATAGATATCATTTTAATACGGTAAGAATGAGAAGAAAAATGTTGAAAAATGCCAGGTCGTTTCTTTAATAAGGTTTCTGCATAATGATTTCCACAAAATCACATTTCTCTTCACAACCTTTCGTCTTCATCATTAATAATAATTTTCTGTTCTTTGTTTTCCTCTCTTTTTTTTTTATCATAAATTTGTTTTAAGGACCAAATCCGATGATTCCTTTTTGGTGCATTTTTGCGAAATGTTAGCTATTGTCTGTTCTTTGTCTGCTGTGCTATTTGTTTATCGCAAGATGCTTTAAAGTAGTCAAAGCTACATTCCTAGCTACACCAAAATGCTGTTCCCTAGCTTATGCTTCTGAGTTATCCCTAGTCTGCTCTTGAGGTAAGCCATAGACTTAGTCGTACGTTAGTCCTAGTTTGTCTCAAGGAGTATACTTAGACTATAAATACAGGTTGACTTAATGGTTTGAACCAGCTTTTATTTAACCGTCCGTTTCCGTCTGTCTTTTTGACTGTGAGTCTAGACATTTTGAGTGCAGTGGTTTGACGCTATCTCATTCTTTAATCTCTCATTAGCTGTGCACCTCTGAATCACAATTGATCTGAATAGGTAAAAGTTTTTTTTGTCTAGACATTTAGGGACCGTTTACTTATGACGTCCCCCCAATGGGGGGGGGGGGGGAGGGTCTAGGATTTTGTGACAGCTCAAATAAAGGAAATTTTTATCTACAGAAATTTTGTGACAGAGTGGGGGGGGGGGGGGGTTCTAGAAAACATATTTTTTTATGGACGTCATAAGTGAACGACTCTTTACTTGTTGACTTATCTATTTATTAGTCAGTCTATCTGTCATTCGGTCTGTCAAGAGAAACAAGAAATTATGCGCTTATGTCACTCAGTATTGACATCCATACCAGTTTATATCTCTTCCTTATTATTCCACCTCTATTCGCCAGACCTCGTGAATTTTAAATTGAAACATTTTTTGAATGTCAATTAAATTGTTTGATAAAAATGTTCTATGTGCGTGGATTTAAAATATTTATGAATTGCCATGCTGTACTTATATTATCATATCTTGTTTTTTTTTTATACGAATAAAAAAATAAAAATGTGCCGCTCATATCTTCTCATTTCTCGTTTACATTCACGAATATCCCTCCTCATTGGAATTAACAAAGATTAATTGAAAATGTCGGATAATCGTGAGTTGAATACGATTATTATTATTGATGATGATAATTTCGCTTCTTGAGGGTCTAAAATGTAATTGGATGAAAGATGAGCTTATCAATTAGGCTTTTTTTCTAGATGCACATTTTGAAATATTTATTACGCACAAAAAAAAGGATACACAAATTAATTCACGAGCACTTTTTATTTTATCGATAAAAGGTGTCAATTTTTTTTGTTACTCCATTAATTTTTAATGTGATTCTTATAGGCATGCAAATGCCGATGAGAATTTTTAAACAGATGTTGAGATTAATTCACCTAATTATGGATTTTAATGGTGCAATATGATTTCACTCAATTTGGAATCATCAAAAGGGAAATCTATGCCTTTGATGTTTAATTACTTGTCACTTTGAGAACTCTATGAGTAAGTATCAATTTTAGTAGGTTTACTGAATATTTGTGTTGTTCGCTTTCACTTCTAGCTAGTGTTTTTGGATTTTTATGAAGAGCTGCTGACTCCACAAAAGTCAATTGAAGATTGGATATGTAGAATCCCACCCCACTACCTGCTTTAATCACAAAAGTCAACAAACAACAATTTCATCAAAAGTTCGAGTTCTACTAAAAGTAATGTTTTCTAGAAGTCGGTTTCAATAGTAAACTCTAGTCATATATCCTATGGCAAGGATATGAACTAAAACCGAACAAAACAGCCTTTATTTGTAGGCAACAAAAAGTAATGTCATCAAAGCAGTAGTTCGAATCCTACTATATTCAGTAGATATCAGTTGATGTGCGTCAATCCCAATGATAATGAGCTAAGGATACCATCAGTCCACTTTTCTAAATTCAACTACTCACGTACCTAACATATCCATACAGCTTTTATTCACAAACGGGTCATCAATCTAGTTTCATCTCATCATACAAAGAATTTCATCACATCACATGCAAGAGCTCATCACACATATGAACCTGACGTCATTCACAAAACCAAATATATTTCAAAAGCAGAACATGCCAATGAAAGCATATAAAAACATAAATTATAAAAGAAGAGAAAAAGAAAAACAATTCTAGCGTATAAAGTGTCTGAAAGTCAACTTAGCTTACTATTTTTTCATTAATAAGTCAGGAACGAAATGAGAATGTAGAAGGTGAAGGAAAAGAATAAAGAAAATGATGTGTATCTACAAAACATTGCAGGAATTAATGATTATCCGACAAAAAAAGCTAATCAGATAAATGTAGAGTTAAGAAGAAGAGCCGTAGAGTAGAATGAGCAAAAACATTCACATATCCTTCCAATTTTCTATAAACGATGAAAGTTTTCTTTCCTTCTTATTCATCTTTTTCTCCTTCTAATCTTACGTTCATCGCCTATTCTTTCCATCTCTATCCTCATAATGAAAAAAATATATCACGTTCATGCATAGAGATAAACATAATGAATCTCTCCTATTTTTCTCACATATCATTCGCTGGCTTATTTATATATTCCGGTCTGAAAGTTATTAGCCATAAAAATGAAGGTTTGAGAGTGTGAGAGAAGGGGAGATGGAGTGATACACGAAAAAAAAGTGAAGCATAAGAAAGATGGAATTATGTATACATAAATTTCTATATTTTGCTTTTATCAGGGATGTAGCTAGGCACTAGATGGCTGGATTTAAGTTCTATCACAGGTAGTTATGGTGTCTAAGCAGATTGAAGCTAGTATAAGGTTAAGAGCTCGTTAGCATAACGGTTAAGCCTTCGAATTTAAATCATTGTTCCTGTTTTTCGTAAAGACGTGAGTTCAATTCCTAAACAAAGAAGTTTGATTTTAAGAGCTTGTACCATAATACAAGAGACACTTTAATGGGTTTTATAGCTACTGAAATCATCTTAGTCAGTAAATGAATCTATGATTAAGTGCCTTGATGGAAAAGCTTGACAATCTATGCGTATACTAGGTCGAAATTACTCAGAATAACAAAATAGGTATGAGAAAGACGTAAACAATAAGCAAAGATTAGGTTTCAGCAGCAAATCATCTTAAATTATCAAAGTTTTTAGACCAGACCTCCTTAACCCATCCCACCTACTTGCACTATCCCTCAATACATCCCTGCCTCATTCAATTTTTTCCATTGACATGGCGCAACGAGTAAATGTAAGTAAGTAAGTATTAAATAGATGCTGAATGCTGTATCATGTTTTAATTTACGAAAAAAAAATGTAATATGAGTAAGTAACGAAGAAGAGGAAGAAGATGATGAGGAAGAAAATTCCTTAATTGCTCGAGCAAAATGTGTTAAACTTTTTTTTCTTCGTACGTAAGTTTAATTCACACTCCTCTTACTTCATATTTATGCTACAATATTACTCCTATTTGTATGTAATCAAGGATAGAACTCATTTTTATTGAAGTAATAAATTGAGATATAAAATGAATATGATATGGCTGTGTAACAACACAGCTAACAATATACTCGCTGTTAATAAATGTAATTAATTAAAATAATGTGATTATGATGAATAATAAGCAAATATGCGTAATATAAAGCCAAAAGTATGTTTAGTTGGAGTGGAAAAGACATGAAAATTTATGTTAAAAATTTTATTGATTTTTTTTTATTAGCTGATTTTTTAACATTTTTTATTTGGGTTGCAAGAGTTGACTTTGGTGTGGCTGAATGGTTTAATTTATTTTATTTTTTGAGGCCTCTAAAATGTCAGTTTTATGACAATATTTATGTTGGACATTTTCTAAGTCATTTAAGTAATAGCTACTAGGGTCAAAAATGAGATACTTTAATTAAAATCAAATTATCGATCATCGATTTTTGTTGGAAACCCAGAAAAGCCTTAAAAACTGGCACTTGACTCTTACCAGGGGCGTAGCCAGGGGGGGGGGGGGGGCGTAGGGGGCCCGGGCCCCCCCTACGAAAATCTGATAATTGTTTTATTAAGTATTTATAGAGAAGAACCAGTTAATGTACAGGAAGTGATGAAAGAAATGTCAAAATCAGCACGAAAAATTAAATTTGATGTATAAATAATGAATTAAATATTTAAACTTATGAAGAATGAATCAAGATTGAAGGATATAAAATAAAGTTTTTTTAATTTTCGATAATGGCCCCCCCCCCCTTAAAAATTTTTTGGCTACGCCCCTGGCACTTACTATATTATTGCATATGGACAGGGAAGAAGACATGATGTAGAAAGGTTTTTGCATTAGCACCCCGGTTCATTATACAATATTGTCATTTAAATCAGGAACCATTTGGATGTACCACAAAATGCGCTTTAAAACACAACACCTCAAGTACTATTCAACTAGTTCTCATCTGTGAGTCAAAAAAAAACATTGCAGTCTATTCCTGCTTATTCCATTAATCAATGAAATGAATACAAAAACTTTTCATTCATTTCCTTTTTATCATCAGCATTCGAGTGTATATGTTGATATGATGTTCTTTCATTTTCATTTATCTCTTCTATTCCATTCTCTTCTTTGGCTCTTTTCATTCTCCACTTAGTTTTTTTTCCTCTCCTTTCTTGTTTCGAGGAGGAGTAAAAAGGATGAAACTTGTTGCATATATAATCATACTTATGACTTTATACTATTCATAAGTTCTGAAGATCTCCTCACACTAATGTTATTCATTTATCTCACCCCTCCGTCCTTACTTATCTCAATATTTATGCATATAAAGTAATAAATATGAATGTGAGTGGCACTCAGCACAGCATACTCAAATATTGAGATTGCAAAAAGTGTGTGATTTTGAATGAGGCGAAAATATTCAGTTTTATTTTACAAGTGGAGGAACTTATTTATATGCATAGACATCAAATACAATGAAAATCAAATTATGCCAATTTTAGAAGAGGGACTGTCGTTTGTTTGAGAGGGCTTAGGGGTTGTTGAGGAATCGATTTCTTTATGAATTCTAGAAAATGAAGGAAGGACGTGTAAAAAATGAGATTTGGTATAAATCATACTTGTAATTTAATTAACGACTATGAAATCTGTATCAAGCCTATTTCTCAGATGATAGTGAGATGTGAACCTTCCCAAACTAGTTCTGACAGAAGAGTTACCTTGGTTCAGTAGGCCATTTCTAAGCTGTATTTCGAGTTCAAAGCTAGGTTGCACCCAGAAAACTGACATTAGTTGAATCTTGAATTAATGATCGATGTATGTACAACCAGAATGAGACTCTTGCACAGAGCTCAAAGTCGATAAAATTTTGTATAGACTACGAGTTGACTCCGCCATACAAAATCGATGAAAATCTCAAGTTAACTTCGAGCTATGCTCTTGCATACTTATTTAACTTACTGTCTTGGCTGGGACGCACGAGGGCCCATTGCCGCGCTGAGAGATCGTCTGAAGACAGCTCTATCCTTAGAAACCTTCTGCCAGTTTGGGATATTAAGGTCTCTAGCGTCTTTTTTAACATATCCAATCCACAAGTTCTTCGATCTCTTGCATACCCAATTTAAATGACTGATACTTATTATTATCAAGAAGATGAGTGGGAATAAATGAATTATGTCTCACGGATCTCATGGATGCAAATATTGAGTACTATACCATCGCAAGTCTCATTGAAACCTCAGACTTTAAGATACATTACTAAGCTACATTTGTGCACCCTCTTCAATCAGCCTATATTATACTCTTCACAAAAACGATTCAAAGTAACGAAAATTAAAATTAGCACATGAGTCATCATTATGTCTGCAAAGTAAAGTGAGTTCATTGAGTACTTTCCATTGAATTTTCTTCTTCATTTTCCAATTCGCAAAAAACAAGTTTTTTATTATTATTTATTCAGAAATGTGTAAGGGATTTAATATGCACATGGAGGGGTTAGGTTAGTAGAGTAGTAAAGTGTGTATACTATTTTCGTATTGAATATATAAAAATAATATACAAAATTATTATTACAATATCATGATTCATTCTCAATTTAATTAAGTGTTTTTCCTAGTCAAACACATATACTCATTTTCTTCCAACAGTTTTACAGCGTCATTTCAAGTATATATTATTTCCCCTATAATTGTCCTTGTTTTATTTCTGCACTAGTGGATATACTACCGAATATACACATAAACATCCATACATACATACAACATAGCTAAAGAGAGAGAATAAAATGTATGAGTAAAGCAGAATTTTTTTTAAATAACCATCACCCTGCGCTGTGCTAGAGGATTGGCGACATTTTGACCCGACAATGTGGCGCCTATTAAGGAAAAACGAGAATGTATGAAGAAAAAAAATTATTTTTGCAAAAATTTTATAATTTTTTCCTATTTTATGCTCATATGATGCGAATAAATTAATTTATAAGCGGATTTAATTGTGTACATTAATTAAGTATACTGTATGATGAAAATTGAATATTTTTAAGATTTTTTTTATATCACAGAAATTACGGCATGCGAAGATAAAATTTACATTTTGTATTTGTTTTACACATTTCATGGTTTAAGAGCTCCACCAACAAGTAATTAATGACATTAACTCAATAAATATAAATTTGCACCTTTTTGTGTACATTTGAAATGAAAAATGTTTAAATGTTAATTTATTTTCAACTTGAGAGTTAATTTAATGGCACTTACCTAACTGCAATTAAAATATAATATAAAATATTGCGGGGTGAAATGAATGTTATCGTAAAAAATATGAGAAAATATTATGTTGAAAAGTTCAAGGTGGGAGTGGTACTTGGATGATGTAGCAAGGTTTAGGGTAGGCATAATGTAGTGTAGAGTAGTTTAGTGTTCGTTAGAGCATAGGGAAGCTTATAAGAACAAACCTTTACCTATTCAGATCAATTGTGATCCAGAAGTGCGCTAGGGCGTTTTGCAGCTTTTATGAGAGTTTAACGAGAATAATGCGGCAAACCACTGTACTCAAACCTAGACCCACAATTTAAAGTGGAATCCGAACAACTCCACTGATGTCATTTCTGCCTATAGGCTACAAAGGAAGGCTATGAGCCTCATTTCCAGTACATATGATTCGAAAAAGGAAAAGTGAAAATTTTTCCAATGCCGAGTCTCGAACCCATGATCGCTGTGTCGGTATTCGAATAATTAGGTACGGAAGTACTAAACCATTCCGCCACAGAGCCACTTCAGCTCACTCAGGGTAGCTAATGGTATCCCAAATATGATGCAGCATAGAGCACATTAGAGTATGATGTGACATAAGGTAGTTCACAATATAATCTAAATTGTCCTCAGGGGTCATTTACTAGTAACAAGCTCTAAAATGAAAAAATTTAAGTTTCAACCTTCAAAAAGTCAGTAAGTGGGGAAGAAGGAATTATAACTTAATGCAAAAATTAATGGAAGTTGCCAGATTCCTTATCTCACGCCCGCACCACCTCCTTCCCCAGACAGACACTTTTAAAAGACATTTGACTATCCTAACACACTTCAACAAAAACTTCTTCAAGCTCTCTCCAATTGTTGCACAGTCTTAGTTCCCCTCCTCCTATCGCCTCCATTAATGAACATCACATCCATATAATCCCCCACTAGACTATAAATGTAAAAGAAAATGGAAAAATCACAAGAGAAATATAATAAAAAAAAAATTTCCTTGTCTTCATCGATCCTTTTTTTCCTTCTGTGTTATTTATATAAAATACCAGTCTGAATTATTATGTCTGACCGGTGTCTGTCTGTCTGCTTCAAATTGATATTGACTCTTTTGAGTTGTTCAAAGCTTTGTGCATTATTAATACACGAGGTATCGATGTAATTGTTGATTGTTTTCAATAGATACAACAACGATTAGTTTTTTTGAAATACATAAAAGCTTTAAGGCGTAGTTGAATAGTCGAGTGGAAATAGAACTTGTGGGTGGGCTATTATCTTGTTAGTTTCATCTTTAATTCATTATGTGAAAATTGCGTGAATCATCATTTTATCAGCTTGTTATTTTATAAAATATTACATTCACAATTCATAATCGTTGCTGTATCTGCGGATGGATCATTAATTATTGCAAATATGAATTGTTTATTGTTATGTTATTCTGTTTTGTGATGTAAATGACTTTTAGAAGTTGTACATGGGGAAAATGAGATTTTGAGGACTCTATTGAATTTTTATTGTATGGATAACTATGCAGCATCCTAAGATATAGCTATATTTATTTTTGAATGTCAAAAATGCATAGAAGTGCCAACTTTGCATCTTAATGGCTATTTTTAAGTTTTCTCAATGACTTCAAATTGAATTTCAAACAATATGCTAGTCAAAAATCTTCCAATGAGATTGTTTATTCAAAAACTATTCATCACAATAAAGGTTTGTCTACCTTTAAACGCTATGAACCTTTGATTCTCATTTATGATGGATTAGAAAACCAAGTTGATATAAATATTGCAAAATCTTATGATTGTGCATCAGATCAAGTTTGTTCATTTCAATTAACTGACTTTTTAAGAGTTCTTACTTCTAATTATCAAAATTTAAAAAATTAATCATTAAAACCAGTCAAAAGTTAAGTCAATCTTATATCGTAGACACTCTAACATCAAATATTAAAATGGAACCAGAATATTATGTAAGTAACGATTTCTGTACTTTTCTTTATACCAGACACCATCAATGGCGTTTTTGAATTCTGTTGGCGGTTCCCAGTCCTCAAACGAGTGTCCTTTAAAACCAAAAGTTCAATTCAATTTATTCAAAATTAAAAAAACCAAAAGCTAACAGTTTAAAACCGTTTATCTTCTCAAAACAGGACCAATTGCCTATCCTTCCAATAGAAATGATTCTTGAAATCATCTCCAATCTAAATACCATCGAAAACATCACAAACTGCATGCTTTTATCAAAAGAGATTAAAAAATCCATGCTTACATCAACTAAGATCATGAGAAACATCAGATTTAATCTAAAATGCTATCATGAATCTGATATAACCATGAAAATCTTCAAAGAACATGCAAAGTTTATACGCTGTATGAACATTACTAGCTTCAGCTGTAAAGATAGTTTCAAAAATGCATTGAATCGAATGCCAAATTTAGAGGATCTTTCGTTTGAAAGGACGCTTGGAATACGCTGTTTACCGCTAAGCACTCAACCCTCAAATAAAAAGTTGTCAGACTATTGGAACGATTATGAAGATTCATCGGATTTGACAAAATTAAAGGCATTAAAGATTGACGTCCGTGACTTGACACATTTTCTTAAATTAACAAAAAATGTTAAAAATCTAGAAAAATTGACAATTTTTTCTTATGATTCAACTCATGAAGATTTCATGTTCGACTTTATTTGTCAGCAACATAATCTTAAGGAATGGAATGTCATCAATCATGAAAATATTTATCTTTCATTCCCTAAAGTCGATCCATCCTCAAAAGTCAAGTTTAGGTTAAAGAAATTCAAAGTTTTGACAAAATGGGATCGTGCTGTTGAAAACGAACATTTTTCAAAGTTTCTGGCATTCCATGCAGAATCATTAGAGGAACTAGAAGTTGATTACTCATTAAGTACACAATCGCTTCAATTGATCTTCGAAAAATCGAACAAACTTCAGAAGCTTATCCTGTCAAGTGACAAAAATTCGCAAATTTACTCACGAAACCATCGAGACTGGACTGTTCCAACTGTAAAGCATTTTGAGGACTTAAATTCAGATGGTATAGATCTTGAAATGGTCCTGAGGAAATTCCCAAACATTGAAAGACTAAGGTGCGATATCCTCAACAATTCAAGTAAAAGACCAAACAATATTAAATATTTGGAGATGAACACCATGAATGGAGTAAGTAAAGAATAGATTCAATTCCTTTAACAAAGACTAATCAAAATTTTTCAGTATTGTATTGTCAGGCAGGAAATCATGAGGAACACACTATCAGATCTCAAGAACTTAGAGCATCTAGTCATGTTGAAATTACATACGGAATTATTTTCAAGGCTCAGCAAACACTTTGACGTTCTGGAGAAATTGAAGACAATCAACTACAGGGTTAAATCATTTAATCCAAATATCATAGAGACGGATGACAATGAAATAGTTCCAAAAGATTATAAGTGCTATAAAATTAAAGCTGATTTTGAGAAAAAGACTGTTAAAGTAAGCACTTATATTGTTCATCATGATAAGGAACTTTTTAAGAATATTGTAAAGAGTTTTAAAGGATTTGACTTCTTCGAGTTCTGCTTTGATGTCATGAAGATTAAGAGGATATTCACTCTTGATATTTAAATAGACTAATCTGTAAAAAAAATTGACAAATTTATCAAATAAATGCAAAACAAATTTTAAGGATATTCAATCATAATTTCCATAGTTTTAAGGAAAACCTGCATCAAAATTTTTGAATGCTTCTTCAAATTCCAGTTTTATCATTTTTGACATTGATTTGCTTTTATATAGATTTACTTTTATCTGCCTGCAATTCTCTTATTTTATTTTATGTCAATTGATTTTATTTCAAACATCAAAATTTTCTCTGAACGATCGTAAAATTAAATTTATTTTATTCTCATTCGGCATAGTCGTTTATTTTTATTAATATTATATTTTAGCTAGGCTTCATGACTTCAATATTCAGAAAATTCTTAAAACCAGCTAGTGTCTACTAATTTTAGTGCACATAATTGTCTTCGTACTTTTTAGATTGCGACTCAACTCACTGTAGCTTCAAACTAGCTTCAAGGTTAGTGATGCATACTCAATGATGTTTTAACAGTTTATTTTTCCGTAGCCGAGTTTATAATATTGTAAAAGGGTTCCAGTGCAATGAATTGCAAGCACTACGATCCTAATCCGATGAACCCACATTGAAATTCATTTTAATGTTTGCCACCCGTCGGCCGGGTTAACAGTATAATTAAAACCAAGCGGAAACCAATTAGAAATGACAACTACGTAGTTACCACTTGGTCTCCATGCAATGTGTGCCGATCGGATAAAACTAGGTGTATTGATGAGTGAATTCAAATTTGTTCCACGACTCACATTTGTCACGTGGATTTGTTGTACATAACCCAACAACAAATGAACAACGAATGAACACTTATTTAGTAACCACTGATATCATTTTTCTAGTAAAGGTAAGCTGACGCAGAAATGAAGATTTAAAAATGATTAGGTGATGTGGATAGTTTTTAACAGTAACTCCATATTGATGAGCCAAAATTCCATCCAGCTCACCACAATTTTAAAGCCACATTACTACTAATCCATACTAATCCTTTTAAAAATCCAACCACATCAATATTTTATGACCTCGTTAAATTAGTTCATAAAAATCATAAATATTCTCTCACCCTCTCTTAATCCCCTAAATGACATACCTGTAATGAGACTCACAAAAAAAGTATATTAGCATTTCATGTTCTGACGGGAACGCCCGCCTAGTTAGCATTTTTATTTCTGGGTTTTATCTTTACGACATAATGCATGTTGTACGTGTTTAATAATATTTATTAACATGACTCTTGTTTTCACATCAAAAAATGTTTTCCTTTTTTATTACCATGATCTCAAGCTCTTCCATTTCTTCTCTTCTATTACATCATTTGACTCCTCTATTGCACTTTTTTTGTTGCTGCTTTTTCTTCTTGTTTGCAAAGTATAATCCAACTTTTTTTTGCTTCCTTGTGGGGTGGTTCATAAGTGACGGACCTAAGTAAATCACATAGAACTAGACTTTAGGTTTATAGTCGTCACAAAAGTCTAGACTCTCCAACCCTCAAAAACTGGAACATCATTGATGGACCAATCCACATTCATCTTCACATTTTTTTTCGTTTTTGCTTGCTGTTGATGATGTCGGTGGATTAAAATAAGAATCGTAAATAAAGCTTATGATTTATTCATTTGCAAAATTTTATATTTTTGTTCCTCCACACAGGTTTATGACTGAATTAGTCTGTAATTTTTTTCCTGCTTCCACTTCGAATTCAACTGAAATGATGACTTTTGAATGAGTGTTGGCAACAGCAGAAAAGAAGAGAGGAAAGAGAAAAATCAACAGCAATAACGTCAACATCGTAAAATGCAATGAAGAAATAACAACACGGGGACGTTGACGGAAAGAAAAATTTGATGCATGACACAAAACATCTCCGATGGGATTAATAAGTTTTTCCTCTTCTTTCGTAGTCATTTCGCTACTTTTGCCTTTTTTATTTTTCCGTAAATATGACTGTTTCTTATGCCTTAAGAGTCGTTACATCCAAATGATCCTTAATTTACGTTCAACAGCCACTCGTTATTTTGTTTCCGAAGAGCGTATATTATATATCGTATAGAGTCGTATAAAAAGGAGACGATAATGATGATGTGATGCCATATACCCTCCTCTCAATGTCCTCTCCATCCACCTTCAATTATCAACATTCAACAATTTTTTTTTCTCTTCTATCCACTTTTACTTTATTGATGTGTTTGCTAGATGTGCAATAAATATATAGATAATAAATAATGATGAATAAATTGGATGTAATTCTGACGACAGTGGTGAGGAACTTTGAACTATTTAGGATACATTGAGTGATACATCTTGGAAAGAATGTTGGGTGAGGGTTCTGTTAATATGTTAAGGCACTAGCTGCATACTATGTTGTTTACAAACACATTCAAAAAGGCGTTCAGGGTTTCAATTCCGCAGGTCCAATAAGATATAGAACTATGCTGAGTACTATCCATTGTACCCTATCTTTGAAATGAATATCGATGTGATGCAGTATGAAGTATGGATAAAAATCAATTGATATTAGGAAAGGGAACTAATTAGTCCTTAAATTTGCCTTAGATCCTGTTGGGTTGGTGTGGCAAAGATCCTAAAACAGAGCTATAAACTTAATCAAAAGGATAATGACCTGAGCAAAGAAATTGTGTTGTACCATGGGTCCTCGATTTGAGTAGATTCGATTTGAGTAACGAGAATTAATGAATAGAAAATTTAATGCAACAAAGCACATACTCAAATCGAGGACCCCCAGCAATTCGTTATATAAGAATAATGGATAGCTAAGCTGAAGTGAGTATCTCAACGATCAAGTAGTTGAGATCTTTGTTAAAAATTTCGAGAAGACGAGAGTTCGATTCCCTTCTAATTCAACTTGTTTTAAATTAAGAAATGACAGAAATATTAGAGGATCACAAACGGTTCTTCAAGCTCTTTTACTTATTGAGATAAAGGAAGGAATATGGCAACTGTTGACTCAAATTCAAGCTCCAAAGCCCAAATATCCCAAGTTACAAATTCCATCATCAAGCAAAAAATTGCAATTTCGTCTCTCTAAGCTTCATAACTTAAATGTAAACCCAATAACTGAACATCCCCTTGCATGCACGTTTTGAACATTCATCCATACTTTAAATTCACATCATAATAATTCGATCAATCACGGTAGCTTATCGTCATATAAAGGTGAAAGGTATAAGTTGATGAATGTTAAATTTAGCAACTTTTCATCCTTAAAACACAAACAATGCTTATCGATCCCATGGTGATGATGATAAGGAAGAGTAAGGAGAGAAAAGTAAGAAAAAATTTCCTTTGTTTCGGTTTATATTATTCAAAAGTATTAAGTTTCATCATAGCACTTCCTCATCTACCGTTGCATCACCTTTGCATACTTATTTCCATTTTTTTCCGGCATTTACATACACACATATATAAAATAATATAAAATGAAATAAAAGAAAAACAAGTGAAGAGCATGGCAAAACTTTTATGATGCAATATCGTAAACCTGAAATTTATTAATAATCGACATAAAGTTGACATCTCTGGTGCCATTTACATCCATCTGTGTTCACTTCATCTCCATATTTTCATCTGCTTTCTGCTTCACATTCACTCGTCTCTTATTTTTTTTTTCCTGGGTAAAAATAAGTAGAGATGTAATGTAAAATATAAGACGGAAAAGTTTTTTTTACGGTTGTGCCGCACGGCTGTTTAGAAAACTGTCATTTGTTCTTTGAAACTAGCAACAAACAAGTCTTGTACATTAGAGAAAAAATTCGTTTATGCCACACAATATTTTAATAAAAAGAGAGAGAGAGAGAGAGAGAGAAGAATGGAACGTAATGTGAGTGATGCAGAGGAAGATATAGTCTTGTAATAGACGAAATATGTACCAATGATAAAATATATAAAAGCAAGTGATGAATATGGATGACGGGATTGGTATTTGGGGCGCAGTTTTTAGAGACAGGTGGATTTTTTTTTGAAAAAAGAAGAACAAGTCGATTGAATGGACAGTATTGCATTTGGTATTGGAAATTGGCAAACGAGAGCTAGCAATGGAACCAGATTTAGACGACATCTGAGGGAGGCCTAGGCTCACAGTTGATCTGTAGGATCATCAAAGTAAGTAAGTTGATTGAATGATCTGATATTTAATGTATGGAGCACAGATACAGAAAATCATTAACTAGATTGCATACTGCTAAGGTTCATTATCTACTAATGCTAAGATTTTGACTAGAGCAGTAAAATATTGCCAGAAGAATGTGCTTGAAATAGAGCCACACAAAAATCTAGACTGTTTAGCTAAGGTTTTACAAATGATCTCTTTGCACGATGAGCTTCCTTTATTTCATCAATGTTCTGTGTAAATTTGTAGCTATATCATTGATTCTAATTCATCCTCAGTTAGTAACAAATTTCCATGCAATCCCATAAGGGGAATTGGGGTAGCCGAAGTCTGGCTCCGAAGCTGACTAAATGTTAAGTATATACCTTCTCCCTGAAACCACTAAATACACCGCTGGCGACAGAGCCTTGTGCCAGAATATGTACTTGAAAAGATAGACTAAAAGCCTATCCAAACAACCTTGCCTATAGGGTGGCAGGGCACCTCCACAACCAGGCTAGGGATGGTAAGGTTTACAACCTCCATTTCCGAAATCAACTTGTACAAAGAAAGCAACATAAGGTAAACAGGACTGGATACAATCCCATAGTGCATCAACAATAACCCTCATAATTCAGCTAAACATGGAAGTTAATATGTCTTCACAACTTCAGCACAACCATCAAAGATGAACATTCAGGTGTCTGCGATAAATGAATGATTAATGGAAAGGTCAAGCCCCATATGTTGAGTAAATCCTCTAAAGCGATAATAATCCAACTCAGACAAATTAATCGTCAACACCTACCTTTAGACATTTTTTTCTTCTTTTCATAGCTGAAAGTGTTGAAGCCTAAATTCCCTTCATTTTTATGTATACACATGCCATGAGAATATTGAAGCATATTTTTGACTTTCATTATGTTTGTAGAATGAAAG